GGGCATTTCAGAGTCTTCTCAAATACATACCAGACCATCTGGTAGTGTTTGAAATTCCCTGCCAAGTGTTCCACCTCTGTTAGGTAGGAACATCTATAGTATTATGCCGGATACTTGGCCATTGTGGCCTGCCTGGCAGTGAAGCTGCTAAAGAAACTGCTTTGTATGGAGACCTGGTATCTGATTGATGTCTTGGCAGTGTTGTGTATGCTTATCTATTTCACACTGATTTATTATCTTGAAAAGACAAGTAGACCCGCATGCAATGCAACTTGCAAGCAGTAAAACCATCTGTGCCAGTGTGGATGTCCTCCCTCAACTCCATCAGAAAGGAAATTATAGTGATATGCCTTCATACTGGTCATACACATTTATTACACAGTGATATACATCTTGTTTGTCATCATTGTGGTGTGTCTGTAAACATTCCCCAACTGTGGTTAAATGCCTGTTTTGTAATGAAGAACATTATACAAGGGTTGAAACTTTAATAGTGGCAACTATTTATTTACAACTGATACAAAATACATGCATGTTTTGAAGTTTTACTGTCCTTCAATGTAGTCACCAGCATTGTGTACAACCTGTTGCCAGTGATGTGGAAGTCGTAGGATACCTTTAGCAGCGCCTGGAACAGTTGTGAAGCAAATGCCATGAAGTGGTTCCTTAATCTTAGGAATCAGGTCAAAGTCACAAGGGCTTAAGTCTGGGGAGTATTGTGGATGGTACAGCACTTCCCAGTCCCATCAATCAAACAAATCAGCCACAGCTTGCCATTTCTGCATTTCCATCAAATCATGCGGAACCCATCATGATGCAATTTTTCTCATGCCCAGGCATTCCTTCAGAATGTGAAGCACAGTCATATGCACTAATCCCGTCTTGGACCAGCTCACGAATTGTGTGGCGTCTTATCACTCTCCAGTAACGCGGAAAGAGCATACACTTCTTCACAGACACTAGGACGACCTGGCCGACGCATGTCTGCAACATTTTGGCATCCCTCGTTGAAGGCTTTTACCCACCTTGCCCCTGTTCTGTAAGGCAATGCAGATTCCCCACAAGCTTCTAGAAGACCTTGATGACACTATCATGCTGTATGGCCTCTGGCACATTAAGTCTTTATCCAACTCTGTTGATCCTGTTTCGAAAACATCGTGACAACACTACATTAGACTGCCAGCTAACACGAGGCCCTATTCTTCTCGTCACTGCACATGCGTGTAATGTGGGAAGGGAGAGTCAGTTTGCTCTGAGGTAAGGTATGTAACTAACTTGTGGTATAAGTGACATTATTTGGCTCCGTTGCATGGCGTCTCTACAGCAGTGTTGCCACTATTAAAGTTCCAACCCTCGTATGTTTCATTTCTACAGCAGAATGCACAGAAACCTGGGCAGTGATCATTGTAGTGTGTCTATAATATTCTGCATTTGTGAATGATATAGGTATTGCCAAGTCTATTTAGTGCATGCTATTCTGTGTAATTTTTATGTTTGGAATTTTCACAGTGCAGATATATCTGGTAATATTTTATTAGCACAGTTTTTAGAACCTTAGCTGCAGGCCTTTGTACAGCCTTATGTCTGTTGGTCTTAATGTATGGCTACTGTGAAAACTGCAGTTTTACTCATGATTTTACTTTCAGACCATTTTATAATCTGTTCATATATTTTTAGCACATATTGATTTATGAATATGTACATGAAACTTACAGGGGTTGAACAAAATAACAGAAACATTGCAAGTTCTAGACTTGAAAGGATTCTGACGATGGTGTATGCTGTACAGAACTATAAGGCTTATTTTGGACTCTATCCATCGTCTGGTATATATAAGACAAAAAAACCACAACGTTTCAGAGACTGGATCTGTCTCCATCCTCAGGTGGATGGGGAAGGATAGACCTACTCAGTAATTGAGCCAATGTTGAGACTAGCTCTTTCTAATGGGCCCAACTGAGTAGGTCTATCCTTCCCCATCCACCTGAGAACAGAGACAGATCCGGTCTCCGAAACGTTGTGGTTTTTTTGTCTAATATATACCAGATGATTGATAAAGTCCAAAATAAGCCATATAGTTCTGTACTACAAGTACTGCTCACATTTCTTTATTAATATGGTGCTGGACTACCCTTTGTCTTCAATACAGCTGTAGTCCTTCTGGGAATGGACTTGTACAAGTTTTGAACAGTATCTGAATTTTATACAGTTCTCATTGAAGAACATCTTCAAGTTGTTTTAGACATGTTGGAGGTGGGAATCTGTTGCTCACTCTAGTCTCCAGAACTGACCACAGTTCTTAGTAATGTTAAAATATGGTGACTGTGCTGGCCAGGGAAGATGTCAAGTTCACCTCCATGCTCTTCAAGCCATGGCTGAACAGTTCCAGCTGCATGATTGGAGACATTTTCTTGTGGGAAAATTGCATTGTTGTTCAGAAATAATGTCTTGATCATGGGAAGCACCTCATTATCCAACCTGTCCATATACTCCCTTGCAGTACTTTGACTGTGAAGGGTACTGATGGGCCCAACAGAGTACCATGATATTGCTGCCCAAACCATCACAGAATTTCCCCTGCGTTTCACTGTAGGAACAAGGTATTTTGGATTATAGGCTTGGATGTTCTCCAAACGTAAACTCTTTCTGATGTAGAGAACATGTGAGGGACATCTCATCTGACTATATCATATGTGTGTTTCCACTTGTCTGATGTCCAGGTTTCATGGTCATGACACCATCATTTATAGATCTGAGCCTTACTTACAGTAATCAGGTTTAGCAATTGCTGCCCTACCATGGATGTTGGATTTGTGAAGCTTATGCCAGACTGTTTTTGTGGAAACAGTCTTCAAGGTGAATATTCAGTTCTGCTGTCACCTGTGCTCCAGTAGTTCTGTGATCTTTTTGAAACAGTCTTTCTCAGTGTACAATGATCTCTTCCTGTTAATGTTGACTTTTGTCCACTGTTCCGCTTTCATCCTGTTGTCTTCCCCTGATTTGTGTATGCTGACATAACCTTAGAACCTGTCGCTCTTGATAAACGTAATAATGTGGCAGTTTTTATCACAAATGCTCCAGCTAAATGCACACCAGTGATCTGTCTTCTTTCAAAATTGGACAAGTCATCCATTTTCTGATTCTTTCATGCAGGCTGTCACTCAGCACAATCAGTAATACATTGACATGAGCACTACAAAGTGTAAACAAGCAGAGGAAGAATATTTAGTGTTGCCAATACAAATTCTACTCCTTAATTTCTTAGTATTTCCATTATTTTGTCCACCCTCTGTAGATACAAATAATCTTGGATGATGATGCACCTCTAAACATAATTTCTTGCAATTAGTACTTCTATGATTTGGTTGGGACTAGTCAATGGCAGAACCACAATTTGAGTTGGGGTGATTGTAATGAGTAGGAAGACAGATATCCATGTCCTTTGTAAGTTTTGAGAAATACCAACTACCAACACTTTTTATGTGTATTGTTATTTGAATTCATGGATAATTGAGCTTTGATTGTGTGAAGTGTATATTGCAAATATTTTATCATTTACTGATAGATGACAGGTTTATTAAGGTTCAATTCTGGGAAAGTAAATCTTTTAATGCACGTGAATATTACCGTCCTGTTTGCAGGCATTGTAACAGATCTTTGACATTGTCACAGTTGCATCTTTTTTCATGGAAATTACAAGATGGTTCAAATATGACCAGTACTGATTTGTGTACTGTGCGCAGCAACTGTGCAACCTTGAGAGAGTGAAGCCACAGCCTCCACCCTCCCTCCTGTTCGGGTTAGAACCTGTTCAGTCCTGTCTGGAAGTTGCAGGAGTGATGAGCGAATAGAAGGTACTGCGGAACGTGAAACAGCGCATTGTGATCAAATTCCTCGGAGAAAACATCCTGTCCACTGAAATTCACCACAGACTCTAACAGCAGTATGGGGAAGAGTGTCTCACGGACACATGTTTTTGAGTGGTGTAAGTGCTTCAGAGAGGGCAGAGAGCGCGTGGAGAATGAACCGCATGATCGTCGGCCGCGAACATCCGTCACCGAGCCAAACATTGATCATGCAGACGCGCTTATTCATGAGAATAGGCGCATCACTATCAAGGAACTTGGAGCAATGCTGTCCATAAGTGTTGGTAGTGTAGAAGACATCACTATTGCAAGGTGAATTCACGGTGGGTACCACGCACTTTGACGGACGTGAAGAAAATGGTGCGCATGCAAGCTGCCAGTCATCTCCTACAGCAGTTTGAAGATGAAGGTGATGCATTTTTGAAGTCTATAGTGACCACCAGTTCTCCCAAACCCAAGAGAGCGCGGAGTAGCCGTTCGGGAGGAAAAGTGATGGCAACGTGCTTCTGGGACTGGCAGGGGGTTATCCATGTAGACTTTCTGACAGATGCCAGAACAGTCAATGCAACTTATTACTTAGACCTCCAGGCAACAGACGTGAAGGAAAAGATATGATCCAAGCGGAAGACAAGTGGAAAGTGGGTAGCCTTCCTTCAAGACAATGCACGCCCCCATACGGCCAAAACAACAATGGAAACCCTCTGGAAATTGAAATGGAACCTTCTGACACATCCGCCATACAGTCCCAATTCGGCCCCAAGTGAATTCTACCTGTTCAGAAGGCTCAAATCAGACTTTCAAGGCATGCGGTTTGTGGACAACGACACCGTCATCCAGACTGTTCAGGAGTGGTTATGCCATCAACCACAAGCCTTTTTTGAAAAGGGCATCAGGATGCTTCCAAAACATTGGAAAAAAATGTGTTGACTCCGGAGGGGAGTATGTTGAAGACTGATGTATGCAAGTAAGTGTTCAGCAATTATGGTTTTAAAAAATCAGTCCCGGTCATATTTGAACCACCTTGTAATAACATTGTGAGCACACAAAATATTTTTAGTTTTATCGTGTTAAATTAGGTTTGCCAGATTTTTATTTCTAACTGGCTTTATTGATTCTAGTTTTGTTGTTATTTAGATGATTGCTCTGATTGATGATGGAATTGCTGTGACTAGTAGGTCATCAGAGGACTGCATGACTTTTGGTATTAGATTGCAAGAAGCTCTTAATGAGTTCACTTCTGCGTTTCTGCCACACATGAAGCAAGAGGAGGAGGTTTTTCAGGTAACAAGCATCAATATAGTGGTTCTGTTATGGTTTCTTTATTACAAGAAGTCTTTGTCTCAGATTCATAGTTACTGACTCACAGGTTACTCTTTTCTTCGGTGCTTGCTTTAGCCTTAAAGCAAAATATATGATGTTAAAGGAGATGCAAATTAAATCCCATAACCCTTTTACTACTGTGACAAGTCTCCATATAAACCATTGAGAAAACCTTATACTGTGTTTAGTTGCATATATATTTCTCTGTTACAGCCCCTCTTATTGAAGCACTTTGAATATAGTGAATTGCAGAGTATTCGGCAGCTTGTGATAGTGAAGCATTGTTTACTTACTAACAACTTCATCTATGAGACAATGTTGTCAAGCTTGAGTTTCGAAGACGAACTGCAGACAATGAGATATCAGGCAGAGGATGACAGAAGAATGGTGTATGAGTATGTCAGGAATGATTTGAACAGTGCATTACACCAAAATATTACACGGGAAAGCATGAAGTCTGTAATAAGTAATGGCACATATGTAGCACATGGCAATCCTGATGAAAATATGGAAGACAGGCTTGCGAGTGTAAATGTAACAGATAAGCGTGTGAAGCAACACACAGTCATGGACCTACCTGACCTGGCAGTAACAAAAATATTCTCTTTCCTGGACCCTCCTGATCTTGGGCGTTGTGCTCAAGTTTGTTGGGCTTGGAACAATCTGGTGTACCAGCCTTGCCTTTGGAGGACAGTCTGCCCTGTCCAGTGGGCTTTAGGTGAGTCATATAGCATAAAATTTGTTATGCGTTAGTTATGCTCTGATTCACATTGTAACTACTTGCAAGAACATATCAACAGTGTGGCAGCACTCATGAAGATAACTTAGGGCAACCGGGTTTCAAAATATAGGTGGGAAACCTCTCTGGTAATATATAATCTGACATTTTGAAGCCATGTCTGTAGCATATTCGTAAATTTTATTTGCCATGGATCCATTTTAATACTGATCCTGTCATTTTGATCTTGCAATTGGTCACTTTCTGGGAGGGTTTATTGTCAGAATTCTGCATAATTCATTCCTTCAGCTGAACTAAATGCCCATCCCTTCCATCTAAGTGCTCTACCATTCATATGTGAACTGTACTAATCACAGATTTCACAGTGTAACTTTCCTTATTCCTCACATCATCATCTCCTGGGTACAGAAATTAGAAACAAAGACTATTTTTTTGCAGAATTAAGAATGTTTTTTATGTTCTGGAATTCAGGATCTTAGGGCCATTCACATACTGAATAATTGCATTCTGGGGCACATTAACAAGAGACAGTCCCAGATAGAAGTGTGATTCATGAACTGTTGAGTCAAGGTTTGTGATATGGAACAGTAAACTTGTATGCACCCAATACTTGTTGTGGTAAAACATTTCAGAGTTGTACTTTTTTCTCTGTGATAATTGCATTTGTCTTCTCTTCCATGCTGCTCCTCTTTGAAATGGTTCCTATGTGACTTGATGCAAGAAGTCCAGTTAGAGTGGCTGTGATTGTTGCATTTGCAGAAGTCCCATGTTTTGAACTTGGTGGTGCAGCTTGTGTTTGTTCTGGAAGTGTGATGATGTCATCAAATCTCCCCTTCAATTCCAAGTTGAGTTTTAGAAAATGAAAAATTCACATAGGGAATTTTGGTTCACTATGAATGCTTTCCTGTTGGTCCCGAGAGAAATTGACATAATTCTGCTTTTGCTTGTCAGGTAGCAGACAAAGCAGTGGATTGTATGGAAATCAGTCACATTTTCAGATTTTGTGTCAGCACTTCAGTGTGATATAAACTTGAGTTCTGCCTCATTAGCCAAGTTAGAATAGTTCACCTTAGCCACAAGTTTTGGCTTTTAAAGCCATCAGGCAAAATACATGGTTACCATACCCACACACTATTGAACTGCATTTCAGTGTGAGAGTAGAGCTGGGTACTTGACAACTATGTGATACTATAATAATACAAGGTATAAAAATACAATAAAATTATAAAATTATTATAAAATGAAAGTTAAACAATAAAATATGGTTAAAAACTCTTCATGTGGTGTTTCATATTATGAAGTCAGTTGTTGCAATCTTGTTATATTCCAGCGGACATATAGTGGTATATTCATGACTTGTATACATATAGTTAACTGCTTGGATGCCCGTGGTATAAGTGTAGTATTATTTGACATTAATTGTTTGGCCAGTGCCTCATTTTACAATGTATTTTGTCTGCTCTGTTGGGAATACAGATTGTAATAAAGAATTATATACGTGGTGCGTTCCGTATATAATGCCTCCTATTTTTTTGTGTTAATATGTAACGTCTGAGCTGGATGTTGATGGTGTTGTAGTAAAGGTTGAACCTTCCCGCCAATGTACTGTTAATTTGGTTGTCATGCGACATATAGCGACAGCAGAGCAGTCTACCAGAATGTCGTCTGACATAGAAGTGCGTACGAAACAGAGATGTGTTATTGAATTTCTCACTGCCGAACAAATTGCAGCCATTGACATCCATCGACACTTGCTGAAGGTGTACGGAGACGATACAGTTGATGTCAGCACAGTGAGGTGGTGGGTAGTGCGTGTCAACAGTGGTGAAAGTGAAGTGCACGACAAGCCACGCCCTGGGCGTTCCTGCTCAGCCGCTACTCCTCACAATGAACAGCCCCTTGATCAGCTCATCCATTCAGATCGGCGGATAACGACCAGGGAACTGTGTGCATGGCTTAATGTTGGCTGTAATGCATTGGAAACGATGTTGGGGAAGCTGGATTATCGCAAAGTTTGTTCCAGGTGGGTTCCGCGGATGCTTACACAGGACCACAAAACTCATCGAATGGAAGTCTGTCAGGACCTGTTGCACCAGTTTGAAGCTGAAGGTGACAAGTTTCTGGACAGCATTGTCACCGGAGATGAGACGTGGTGTCACCACTATGAGCTGGAATCCAAAAGACAGTCCATGGAGTGGCGACATCCGGATTCCCCAAGAAAAAAAAAATTCAAGACACAGCCATTGGTAGGGAAAGTGACGTGCACAGTCTTTTGGGATAGATGGTGATTTTTTTGGATTTCCTGGAGCCTGCTGAGACTGTCAATTCTGAATGCTACAAGACGATGCTGACTAAGCTCAAAGCCCGCATTTCCTGAGTCAGGCCAGAGAAGCAGACAACCTTTCGCTTGCAACACGATAACACTAGACCCCATACCAGTTTGGCGACCACCGCGCACATTGCAAAGTTTGGCTGGACTGTCCTACCACATCCACCTTATAGCCCCTATTTAGCACCTTCAGACTTACATCTCTTTGGGCCTATGAAAGATGGACTACGTGGGCAACATTTTCCAGACAATGATGCTGTCATTGCAGCTATAAGAAAGTGGCTAGCCCTGCTGGCGCAGACTTTTATGGACACAGCATACAGGCTCTTGTTCATCGCTGGCAAAAGTGCATAATGAATGGTGGTGATTATGTGGAAAAATAACTGTTAGTACCTGAAATCTTGCTCTATTTAACTGTATTATTATGCTTTCTGTATCTATTGTAGTTTTCTTTAAAAAAAATAGGAGGCATTATATACGGAATGCCCATATATAATAAACACAACAGGATGCACGCAATGAAAATTAGTGAGGTATTTGTTTTCATGAAGACATTTCTTGATTTGTGCTGCATTTCATGTGATGTGCTCATGAATTGATAAAATGAAGGATCAGCATCATTAACTGATACTATTTCACCTTTGAACTTGGAAAATCAATGAGATGTTTGAATTTCACTCATTGTATCCTTTGGGAAAGTAAGTTTTAACATCTTGCAGGTTTCTATAGCACTTTTGCCTAGTTTAAAGTGTAGCTTATGGTACACTGTGCTGTTCTGTGAGGTCTGTCATTTTCTCATAAAATGCAAATCACAGAGGGCACAGTGTACAGCCTCACTTCAGAAGATGTTACTTCTGACATGACAGAAGCTATGGCTTGAGCAAGAACAAAGATGTTCTGATTGTAGTGGTCTTATAACTGTGGCAAGTCTGGGAACCTAATTGATCACACCACATATAAATTGATTTTTGTGTGTGTGTGTGTATATGGTGTTGGTAGAAGAGGATGTGTATTTTTTCAGAAATGGAAAACAGGATGTATTGAATTAGGTGCTACATCCTAAATACCATACATGTAGCAGGAAATTCATCTTTCTCATGTTAAAGTGTTCCTTTTCACATTTTAAAATAAGGCTGATTTTACTGTAGAATGATTTTACTACACTGTCCACTGTGACTCAAAAATATATTTATATACGTGATGCCTTTACATCATTTCAGTCAATTAATGACCATCTTCAGAAGGCAAATAACAGTACTTGATGAAACTACTATTACATAAATCATAGCACACAGAGTTCAAAGTTGTCCAAAGTTTTATGTCTAAAGATTTTAAATTAAACTAAAATGTGATGAGTGAAAATATTAATAAAATTCTTAATATTTAAAATCTTAAACTGCTAAGTGTCGTGTCTTCATGCCTCTTCTATCAAGAGGAGATTAAGTAGATTGCCACCCTTGAAGGTCCAGGCAGTGGTTAAGAGTCTGTTGTTGAGCTGCTTCTCTTTTCATTGTTGAGGCAAATCAGATCATTCTATAGTACTGACTAGTGTGACGGACCAGAATGAATAAATTTAAAGAAGGCTGATTTATATTTTTATGTTGGATTAAGAATGTCCCAGACGTATATAAGGTTACATGTAAAATGGGTGAAATGATTGGTTTATGTGTATCTTCATTTTTACAGTTTAGAAAAATTTAAATGTTTTGAAATGTGCCCTTTGCTGCTGTGTGGGTAAGACTTAGAAATTAATTATTGCAGTGGATGTGTATTCCAGGCTGTTAAAGAGGTCAGATGGGTCAAGGATATCATGGAGCCAGCATATGATTGCAAATTCTTCACAGGCTGACCTGTATTCTCCTGTACTTTGGTCCCAATTCTCTCTCTCAGCTTACAACTGAATTTACTACAATCAAGTCAAAGTTAAAAGTCACATTGTAACTGATGGTCAGTCAGTAAGTCTTGGTGTCGACCTCATTTGGGGTTCATGATCAGATATTTATTACTGTTTGACAGTTACGGTTTTGTTTTTTGTGGGGTATCCTCTCTGATGAGAGGACAGGTCTGTCATTAGTACTCCCTTGGGACTCGCAACCATAGTTCGCTATCTCAGATTTTGAAACTTCCCATTTAGTCGCCTCCTACGACTCACAGGATCACGGTTCCGGTGTTCAGCCCCGCCTTCACGCGGGTTAGAATTTACTAGGCAGAATTCACTTCTCCTACAAGCCTTATGCACGGACCACACAGAAAACAAGTCACGTGATAGTACTGTTGCAGTCTGATGTCATTATGCCTGCGCAGAATTCTGTTTACTGAGCCTTTGCCTAGAAGCAGTTTGTATAACCTCGTTCCATTGTTGCGAGCGTGTATTACATGTGTTTACTGGTCTGTTACTTAGCCATGCTCTGCCCATTCACGTTACACTATTTTGTGTTAGTCTAATAGAGTTCCATCTTCTGGGATACAACATAGTTTAGTTGAGCGAAAGCCAGCAGATGTTTTGGGGGAACATATTGCCTCCATCTTTGGGGTCAGAGAGTAAGCCAAGCAAGGAACATCATGAAGTAGGCAGCAAGCAGATCACTACTATGCTTGTTAAATGATGGTTTCATACTTATCTTACTCTTCAGTCGTAAAGATGGCGCATTATGTTCCTCTGAAATATTAGTTGACTTTCACCGGACTACACAGCATTATATGCCAGAAGATAAAACTCTTCATAGCCACTGCTGTGAGAACATCATATACAGCATTGTGTTAGTCCAGATTTTGTGAATGACTAAAGAACTGTTGATACTGATGTAATATCCCCAACAGCAGTGTCATGATTCTTGTTAAGGTCTTGCATTTCAAGAGTACTGTGATCATTTGAAACAGTAATGAACGTTTCTGTCCACAAAATGTTGATGTGGTTGTGGGAGCCACCCTCATTGAATCAAGCACTAACTGAACAGCACAGACCACAGCAGCTCCAGCACCCATCGGTTCATGCTCTATTAATGACAGTGTATAAATATTTTGACCTCCGACACACTGGTCATCAATCTTAGTCTAAAAAATATCTGCTACTATGCAGCGGTTCAGTAATCAGGTATCCATGGAAACCGATTGGTATGACACAGTAATGGAACTGTAGAAGCCAGTAAGTTCTATCTGGTCAGTGCATAAGCTACATAGCAGAGACCAACCAGAGATACAAGAGGAGGAAAATACAAAGGTACAATGAACGCATGACAGGCAGGAATATTGGAAGTGTGTTCTAGTCATTGGAAGAAGCTCATCCACATGTTCGTTACAACAACATTAATTATTTATGTAGAAGTTTAGTACGTAGTTGTCTCTTCAATCATCGACATTCCCACACAGTAATGAACATTTCTTTTGGTCTCTGTAGTCCTGTTCCCTTGTCTTTCTGAAGCTTGGAAAAGTTGCTTGTCATCTCATATTTCTGTCACATTTCTTATCAAGGACATTTTTTAGAAATTTGCAAGAACCAATATGTACTTGCATGTCAGGGGACAGCATAGATTAATAAATCAGTGTTCACATATGACATTGCTATTTGCAAATCAAGACCACGTTCACTTTGGTTCTAGGTGTTTATTTTGACTCCTAAAGGTTGTGCAGCTCCTATAGTGAAATGGTGAGGGTGTTTCCAGTGAAAGAGGAAAGCAGATGATGAACACAGTTTTCCAGGAGGAATGGTTTGATAGGTATTTATGTGTACTGAGAGAATGATATTCTCTTTATAATGACATCATTTCAGTATTGATAGAATGTAACATTTGGTGATGTTATCAGTACTTAATCAGACATTCCGCACAAGATATGTCAAATACACAGGTCACTTTCATAAGAGCAAGGTTTGGGAGCTTAAAAAGAAATTTATAGCATACCTTAAGAAAACTAAGGATGTTGCTGTGTGGTAAGCCAGATTTTGGCTAAGAAAAGTAAATGTTTTGTATATCTGTATATATATGGAAAGCATATTGTCGCGTATCGGGCGTATATCGCGACAAATAAATTCTCAATGTATTCGATGTAGCGAATTTTATTTCACATCCGCTCTCACAATCACACAAATTACAGATTTACGATTACTGCTATCTGCAGTATCACAAATAGCACACTCCAAATGCCACAATACAACTGGCTGGCTGACTGACTCTGAATACAACTCGGCGACTGTTACCGTACAACTCAGTACAACTCAGTACAACAACTCTCTGAATAGCCTTCGCTGCGCCTCATGTAGCCTTGATCGGACCATACGGAAAACAGCCACGTAATAAGCACCCTTTTTGCCTGGCGCTGTGTTGCTATGTAACGCTAGCGGAGGTAACCGCTGTTACTACCGTAACGTCGCCGCTGTTGACTCGCGATATCCCTCGGTGACGTCACCGCGGAGGGGAGTGGCGGGGCGGGAACTCGCCTATTACCGTAGTAACGCGAGCGTTACGTTACCGCCACATACCGCTGGGGAGGTAGGGGTCAACATGTCACAATGTGAATGAGTGCATTGTAGTTGTTTCAAAGCTGATGTTTCCAGAAATGGGAAGACAGATTGATGATATTGAATATTGGGTATTGACATAAGGGGCTAACTTCTGATTGCCCCAAGCACTCAGACCACAACTGGATTCATTGTGCATGCCTGGTTTCACTAGGGTCTTATAAATGTAGAATCGAATGACAAACTGGTCATGAATCACACATACTTAAAAACCGACTCTTTTGCTTGAGAGGTCCTGGACCACCCTGGGTGTATGTACTGCAACTTGTACAAGTTATGATTATTGTAGCGTTTGAGACAATTGCCAGAACTTGACAGAAATTAATTTCTGATGGTGTTACATTAGTGTTGTCCCTTCAGGTTACTGGAAATATGAGAAGGACTGGAATGCAGAACAGCACAAGATAACAGTACTACAAGGATCCAGAGGAAATGACTACTTATTCCAAGGCATGGGCATACAAGATTATTTGGAATTTCAATTGGCCGTTATAGAGTCAATGGATGTGATGTTCGATCTTCCGTGCAGATATACAAACTTGCTTAAGCGAGCCATATCTGAATACAGGGTAATTTCAGGGTGAGTAAGGCTGTGGTAACATTGGAAGTGGGACTGATTGAAACCGACTGACTTCACTCAAAGTCAATTGATTGCTGTGGACACAATGTGACTAACTGGACCTAAACAGACTTCATAATTTCTACAGCCAACAGCCAGTAAGTAAATCTGTGATCACTGACACTGTCTTTCTGGAGGAACGAATGGGATGATTTATTGTTGGAGGGAAACTTTTCTCCTACTATCAGGAGGAAAAAGGTTTTAGATGCATTATTTGTATACATTTCACAAGCAAGAGGAATATGACAAGTAGTGTATTAAGTTGGTTTACTCGAATAAGTTCAAGGAATATTACAGAATTGATTCATTTCAAAGCTTTTTGATGAAGATGGAGTGGCACATTGTTTACTACTACTGTGTTGAATTTTGTCTATTGTCTGGTTTATTAAGACCACTATGTTTTGGAAAATTGTTCTATTTCTGTTCTCTAATGAGCAGGTTATGAAAGAAAATCTCTGGTCTGTTGGACCCCTCAGTAGAACTGCTCTCAAGCGACATGTGTGGTCCAAGTCATGGACAAAGTCTAAGATAACATTTTTAAATAATACAAAATTAATGTTTGTACATTTGAGTACATTTTGAACAGTTATATTGGAAGTGATTTATGGTCTCCTCTTAACTTTGGTGCATCACTTGTGCCAGCAGAGAAATTGACTTTGATGTTGAGGTGTGAAACTTGGTCTCTGACATCAAGGGAGGTACATAGACTGATGGTGTTTGAGAACAGGGTGCTGAGGAGAATATTTGTACCGAAGAGAGATGAAGTAACAGGATGTTGGAGAAAACTACATAATGAGGAGCTTCATGACTTGCTTTCTTCACCAAGTATAATTAGAATTACCAAGTGAAGGATGAGGTGGGCAGGGCATGTAGGGCGAATGGGGGAGAAGGGGAATACATATAGGACATTAGTGGGAAAGCCAGAAGAAGGGAGACCACTAGGAAGATCGAGATATAGGTTGGTGTATAATATTAAAATGGATCTTAGCAAGAGAGTATGGACTATATTGATCTAGCTCAGGATGGGGACCAGTGTAGGGCTCTTGTGAACACAGGAATGAACCTCTGGCTTCCATAAAATGTCGGGAAGATCTTGAGTAGCTGCACAGCTGGAGGTTCTGAAGAAGTGCTCAACTCCATGAAGTTAGTTGAGGTAAGTCACTCAGTATTACTCTATTACATACACAATATGTAGAAGTCATATGTCTTACAAAATTAAATCAGCATGTCTTGGATGAGAAACACAAAGTTAAAATGAGACGATCAGAAATTTAATTAATAATGCTGTATCTAATGTATTACTTAATGAGCAAACCTCATGACTTTAAAGCATGAAAAGCAGCTGGAATACCTATTAGGAACACTTGTTGGATGAGAGGTTTTTGTGGATATAAGAAAAGGATGGGTAGACAGAAGTGTAATGTCTGTAGTGAAATGAATATCACATGTAATTTGTTGAGATAAAGGGGAGAGTCCATTGGGTGCATGTGGATACACTGTGGAAGAAGAAGGAAAAGGAGAAGCTTTACTGCCAGGTCGGCTTTCTGATGATGCAGGATTATGAAAATGGTCCTTTTGTAATTCCCTGTGAATTATAGCAAAAATTTCTGTTCTGATGTTCATATTTTGAATATAGTACACGCTCTTAAATTATAGTACGTTGATCGTCAGAAATGATAGTCTTTATGATCAGAAGATCTTCGTACTTTGAATTTATCTTTTTTAACTCAAAAGTTTCTCCTGGGCACGTCTTCCGCTTTCTTTATTCTTGATGCAGGATGACTTGGTGTAGTTCTGACCACTTTCCTTCATTTCTCTTATTCTCAAGAGAATCTTGTATAGTGCTCTAAGGTAGTATACTTACATTGTCAACACTCACTTCAGATATTCTTTTTGTAGCATTGCCTAATATCATAGATTTGTTCCAGCTGTTCTTGAACAAGTTCCCACACAGGAATTCTTAAAAATGTCTTCTTGATCTGTTGTCCTTTCCATATATATATATA